AATAAGAAGCACATAGAGTACTGGACAAAAGTACCTGGTCGAGAAAAGAGCCGAAGAAATACTACAATATAGTAGGGATCGGCTCAGAATAATTACAGGGTTACTATCCTGTCATTGTCCACTTAGAGGACACCTGAACAAAATGGTTCTATACTACGAGGTGTACCTCAGCTGCAGATTATGCAACGAAGGGATAGAAACAGCTCTACACATATTATGCGAATGTTAGGCACTGTATCACAGGAGGCAGGCAATATATGGACGTACAAAATTACATCCAGAAGAATATGACGAACATCCAACATGGAACCTGTACAAACTAGTACAGGAAACGAGACTGATGGAATGTGTCATGAGAAAATGGAAGAATAAACCCAAGAGGCTGCAGTGTTTTCTGGAGACTTGGACTAAATGGACAAGTCAGACAGCTTCCAAGGGACCAAAATAAAACACGTATGAGGCCTTACATAACTGATTAACATGCTTTATGATTCCTAGGTCAGTATCGATCGAAAGACCCAAATTTTTGCTCTCATTTACGAATTGAATAGGACTGTTATTAATTTTCAGGTACCTCAGGTAAGAATTGTAGAGGTTTAGGTAATTTGATATCAACATCCAAGACTGTATGTAGTTTTTCTACGTGATTCAACTCGAATATTATTATATTATTCCTTTTTGCATTTCTTTCTATAATTTCCACTTCAATTTTAAGCAAAATGTTTTTCTAGGCAGATGACTTTGTGTTTGAGCTCCTCAATTTTCATAATAAGTCTTGCTTCAGTAGCCTCAATAGCAGATTTGAATTCTGTTCTGTTTCTTTTCACTTCATCATGCAAACTTCTAATCGCTTTCCCTAACTCGGTTTCAATAACTTAATGAGTGAATTAGTTTATGGTTTGCTTTATGTATTCAATTTGTTGAAGTATTTTTTTAATAAACAGGCTGGGTGAGGTATGAGTATCGAGCTAAGGGATGTTAGTCCGGTCAAATTAGACCAAAAAATAAGAGTAAGGCTTCCTACTCCCACCAAGCTGAAAATCAGTAAGATTGTTCATAATATGATCATCAAAAATGAAATTTGAAAGTTTCTCGTCTTTCACCAATATGGAAAAACATTATTTGAGGTCAAAGGTCAAAAAAACGAGTTTCTCGCGATTTTCACAAAAAAGGTGGGTTTTATCATAGAAATTCTTCAGACAAAAATTATTTAATTATCTACAAAAAAAGAGCCAATACTCCTTTCCTACGAGCCACTGTTTTTGAGATATANTTGTTGTTGATGAAGATGTAGACTTACTCGTATTACTCACTGCTCGAAATCCAACTGAAAAAACTATTTTCTTCTCAAAATCAGGAAAAGCACAACATCAATCGGAAATATATGCATCAAAAAGTTTATCTACTTTTGCAAAGTTTCAAAATCATCTACTATTTTCAACACGCAATAACTGGCTGTGATACGACATCTGCATTTTACAGGAAGGGTAAAATAACAGTTTTCAAAATGTTTGAAAACCATAATGTTCAATATGCTGAAGTTTTTAAAAATAGTAATTCAACACTACAAGAAATTATCACTTACGATATTCGCTTTCTTCTTTCTATGTACAGAGCTCCTAAATAACTACCTGCTTAGATAAGTACTGATATGCATGTTTCGTTAAAAATACCAAAATTAAAAAAAATAAGTACAATTACCTTGTCTTCCTCCAACCTCAGTTTCTGTTCATCAACATCTTTTCCGGTTATATTATCAAGTTCAAGTGTGGCTTGATTATCAGCTAGACCCTACAGACTAAAGTTGAAAGTTGGTCAATAATTCATTAGACCCAGCCCAAACTTTACTTCCACCTGCGTCAGAAAAACTGCTGAACACAATTTTTTTCAACTGCAAAGAGAGGTGCAGTGCTAAATGTGGTTTCAAAAAGCCAGACTGTTTTGTTCGCTGACATGTACACATTGTCAAGGCCTCCACCAACAGTGGAGGATTCATTTGATTCCAACGAGGCGACATGCGATACATCGCTATTAATGCAGTTTACTAAAGAAGATGAAGAAGAACAAGAACAAGAAGAATAAAACGAACAAGAACAAGAAGAATTTGAAAGTTACGACTCGGACGATTGAATTTCACGACTTTTTTTTACTTGAATTTCTTTTATCTTTTCAATCCCTGCTAATATCCATTATTTTGCAATAGTTTCAAATTAAACAGGATCACAACTGACCGGTGGAATAGGCCTACTGGAACTTTACGTAACTAACGTTACTGCAGTAACTGCAGTAACGTTAGTTACAAATAAAAGTGGTAAAAACATAGAAAGTTTCAATCCTCTTCTCTTCATTAATCTTCAAAATGGTCAATTCTCGTCCATTGGAAGAGAAAATTGAAGCGGTTTATATTTACAGTGCGATGCGTAACTTTCATGAGACCGAAAGGATCTTCAATGAACGTTTTCCGAATCTTCCTATCTGTAGAAAATATTTGAGGGAACTTGTATCCTAGTACCAAGAGGTAGTGTACATAACAAAACACCCCCAGGTCTTCCGTCCATTCCGTAAGAACAGCAAGTGCAAATAATTGGTGAGATGGTAGTGAATCCTGAACAGTCTACTTATTCCGTCGCGAATGTTTGTGAGATGTCTCCTTCTTCTGTGTGGAGACTTTTAAAGAGGAATAGGTATACTTATGATGCACTGTTTGGAACCTTTGGTGCACTAATGAATATTACTGGAGTTTTTTCCCAACACCAAATAGTTATTTTGAACACTTTGACACGTGTTTGGATCTCCAAGTGGGAGATCATCTTCAAAGAGGAAGATTAAAAACGTTTCAATCTTTCTCTTTGAAGATGATCACTTGGTGATCGAATCAGAGGTCACAAGACCTCCGTTTCTATTTGAATTTTTTCCCAAATGGTGCCCAGTCGCCATATTGAAAGTTTCATCTGTCAATTTCACTTCGAAATAAAGATTTCATGCATTAATTTCATTATCTCAAATTTCAATTTTTTGAGTTGACCCGTTCAAAAAATAAAAGGGGGGGCATTGAAGAAATGCACCGTAGAGTTGCAAGAAGAGTATGTTGAAAAATAAATACATTGTTCGCCAAAATTATTGTGTTTTCTTCTTTAGGCTGGCTACTTCTTGGACCACCGACGTATATAATTGCTAAATCATGTTCATTGAAAATTACAGACTTGGCTTTTCGGCAAAATAATAATTGAAGCAAATGTATCAAAAACGTCAAAGATATAACTCCATCGCCAAAAAGATGAGGAGNGAACCAAATCAATGGCACATTCAATCCAAGGGGACCAAAATAGAACCATCATCATCCCCAAAGGAGTTCTGAATCCAGACCAAGTGAACATCATAAACATTCCTCGCCGACTGAACACCACTGCCCCTTTATTAGTGACTCCAAGAAGAGAGGGAGGATTCAAGTCTCAAACCCTACCTATATGGAAAGATGAACTCTCAGAACCCGGCCCGCATGGATGTAAATCAGATTTGGAAGTGAAACCCAAGGCTTGTTCTTCAAGGAAGGGAGACTACACAACCTTGTCAAGTATGTACGATTCCTCTGCGGAAATGGAAATGACTCAAGGATTCGCACAAGGTTTGGGAACAGGGGAGTACAACATAGTGAAGCCAATGACTCCGTCTCCAGAAAGACCATGGCCGAAACTACCAGAGCATAAGATGGGTAAAGGCTTTAAGCCTCGTCACATGAGTTCACCTCAACCAGACTATGCGCAGCAGTTCTCTAATGATACCAGTTTTCCTAGTACTATTTATTCACAACAATATTCAGATTTCGACACATCTGCTTCAACGAAGTCGAGCTCTGCTGACTTGGATTGCCTTTGTCCCTCAGAAGAGGAGCCAGACGAGGGTTTGGACCAATCCCCGATTCCGAACGCAACCTACAATCAACCCCCTTACAGTTCAACGTTCAGTCAACGTTAACGCAACTTTCAACCGACCTCTTTACAATTCAACGTTCAATCAGCCTCAAAACGTTAACGAAACTTTCAACCGACCTCTTTACAATTCAACGTTCAATCAGCCTCAAAACGTTAACGAAACTTTCAACCGACCTCTTTACAATTCAACGTTCAATCAGCCTCAAAACGTTAACGAAACTTTCAATCAACCTCTTTCTAACTCAACGTTCAACCAGCCGCAAAATGTTAATGCAACTTTTAACCCATCTCAAACTGTGGGATATTCGGACACATACGCGTTCGATGAAAATTGTATTTGTCCCCAGCATGGTGGAGATGGTTCGGTTTACGATAAAACCCACACTCTGAAGCAAACGTATGGTCAGTATGGTGGAGGGCAGTTTCCAGGGGAAGGTTCCAGCTTTGCTGAACCCTATGAGGAACAATACCAAACGTACTACGGAGGTGGGTCATACTGTGTACCACCCAAAGAGGAACAAAGCTATTACCAGTCAAGCGGAACCCCTCCTGCTCAGCAGGATCAACGCTATTACCAACCAAGTGGAACTCCTTCTGCTCACCAGGAACAACGCTATTACCAGCCAAGCGGAACCCCTCCTGATCACCGCTCAGGTGGTGGTCCCTCACAGACTATATACCAAACCCCCCTGAAGACACCAAGGAGGCAGAACATGACTGCGAACACGACCTACCTTTCAACTGTGACTACCCCTGGAGCGGCTTTCCAGAGCCCTATCGATTCTTCTGTCCCAGTATATCAATCTTGCACCAACATGCAGGAAGATCCTTATTCACCGAGGATAGTGCATATGAGCTCTAGGACATTTTCCCAAACCAACGATGATCCTCCAGAATCTCAATCTGTAACGGTCGATGCACCTGAAGGAATAGATGAACCAGCTTTGAGGTATGCTACTCAGATGGCTACATTCGGGGATAGCAGTTATTTTGCAGACCAGTCTTATAGTTCTCAATCACCACCTAGAAATAGACGTAGCAATCCCAAGTATGGAGGATACGCAAGTCAAATGGATTCTTCCAGGTTTTATCCTTCACCGGATTTTCAGGAACAGCAGGGAATGGAATACTTCGATGAATCTGGGTGCGAGATATCGTGCTACAGTCCTTGTTCCAACAAAACGAGGTGAAGTTGGGGATGTTCATCAGTGTTTGTCTAACTGAAGCTGTACATGATTCAATAAAGAAACGTTCAATCCCCACATTTTAATTGATATAATCGATAGGGTTGGGGGTGTGTAAAGTAGAAAGAGCAAGTCACAATCAAAATTATGATTTCATAAATTTCAAAGGTCTACGAAGACAGAGAAACAATCATTATCCTAAACAATAGAGGATACTAATGATAAACAAGCATATTCTATGAATATTCTAAAGGCATGTATATATTTCAAGAATATTCTATGAATATTTGGAATATATACGTTCGTTTTATGATATACAGGAAATATTCAATGAATATCTGGTGCTGTGTGGGTAGAGAAAGAAGGTCGATTACGGCAGAGCCCCGCATTACCGTGACAAGGCGATACTACGACGAGAGGGCGCCCGGTATTTCGAAGGTTCCGTAGAGACAGCTTAGACAGGCTTAGTGTCATTCATCCTCTTGGCACAGATAATCACACCTCAGGATTAAGCCATCGTTGGGATTCCATTCAGTTAGGGAATAACAGTGATTCTGTCATTCCCATATCCAATGGGGCTATGTGGAAGCAAGCATCCGATGACCGGTTTGCTCAGCCCCCACATCCCAACCCAATGCACTCGCCAAAAACAGCATGCAAAGTGGTTCAGGCAGTGGAAGATGAACAAGGACAGCCAACCGGCCGATTTGTATTATTACTTCTCACTTCTAATTCAGTTCCAATTCGAATGATTGTGACTGAAGTTCAATATGTAAATTATCAAACTAACCTGGATTATACCTGTCTGCACAACTATAAAAATCCCCATGTTTGCAAGGAATGTCAATTCCCCACCTGTCATTAACCACCACATAGTCTTTCACTGGGCTTTCATTGTATAACCACGCCAGAAAACCGGTGGAGTTCCAATATGTATCGTAGGCTTCCCAATCTCCATCTGACCATAAAACTGCTGGTCTGTAAGTCCTGATGAGTTCCTGCATTTCCGGAATTATTTTTTTCGTCACAAATTCTCTCTTGGTGAAGTTGGACGCTTTGTCGGAAAGGTACATTGGATTGAACCACTCGTAGAGGGAGTGGTAGAGGCCGTATGTGAGGTTATGTTTCCTCACCGCTTTCCCCAGTTCACCTTGAAGAAGAAACAAAAATAAGTTTATGGACCTCGTTGAATGTTTTATCATCCTAGTCTCACGGATGTAGGTTATGTGGGGAACACAAAAATTTCGAAGAGCTCAGCAACAAGCAAAATAATACATTAGTCGAAAGTATTTGTTGTACAATGGGTTGTACGATACCTAGTATTTCTGAAAAAATATCTATTTTATGAGTGAACTTGGGAATATAACTTAGTTTTGATGATTTTTTGGAAGACTTCGATGTTGAAAGTCTCTTCATGAATGTAACTGTTGGTAAAACTCTTTTATCAACGAAAAATTTAGCACGAATTTCATTGGTTCGGACTTCTATTGTCTGATATTATATAAAACGATTCGAAATACCTGAAAGAATTGATGAAAAAGAATAATTAAAAATGGATAGCTGAAAATAACGAATATATTAAGCAAAAAAAAACCTGAAATGAAATGATAGTGAAAT